AAATGACTGTCAATCAATTTATTTGGCATAAACTAGGATTTAAAAAAACAAAGATTTAAATCTGTGATTTAAAAAAAAATCATTTGATTTAGATCGCGATTTAAATCAGTGATTTAAATTACCAACGCTGTGTGACATATCGTGATATTGGCATGAGTGACAATTGTTCGTAGCATAATTGTAGTACGTGGGTTGGTCTTTGAACCGAGCTTAAAGGGAATGTACAGCATTTGCTTTTGCTGCAATTTTCAGAAATAAATGGATTTGGAGGATGAGTATGTCATATCAAAAATTGTGACACTGACTTGTTTCACGTTTTCTCCAACGCTGGTCGGCCGACCAGCATTGGAAATTTACAATTTTTCTTGAAAATGTCAGCACAGCAGCATCTACGATTTTACAGGATGCTTTAGACTGTCATTTTCTAACAATCCAGTAAACTATTTCAAGATAATGCGATCATTTCATTTTTTGATGCAAATGTTGTATCTTCCCTTTAAAAAAAGACCTTTTGAAGTGACCCAAGTCCTGTCTGGAACATACACATTCTATTGGATTTGAAGTTTTATTTCAAAGGGCTATAAAAGAGAAACAACAACACAAAGACTTAAATTCTGAAGGCCTGTCTTGAGAAAAATAAAAGCCCATGAAAAATTCAACACAATAAGGACATTAGAGTTCGAGTTTGCCAATGTTATTAGTGCATTTTGATCTTGTGCATTTTGATCTTGTATAGACCACGTACATGTACATGTATATTCGCGTCCCATTCACTCAAAGGGCAATAAATAGTTTCAAAATGCACATATGTGTAGACGGCTTCCTAGCTAGATGACAAAGCTTGTTTTTCTATAGCAGACAACACCAAGCCGATGACGACGAAAACATTGTAATAATAATAGCATTAAAATAGTTCTTAAAATTTCGTTTAATGCATAAATATTGAAGATTCCTTAATAACATATTGTCACAATGTGTAAACGAAAACATCAATCCCATTCTGACCCACAGAATCACGCAAAAAATAAATTAACCTTTCGGTGGCAATATGTCGCGCATGCGCATAATTAAATGGCACCCATGAACATATGTGCCACAAGATCAAAATTTGAGAGGGGGGGGGGAAGCAAAAACGTAACCACCTTTAGAAGTCATTGCACATGTGGCAGGGCCAAATTTAAGTTGTATTTTTTTCAATGTATTTTTGTAGTGCTTTAGTATAGGAGTAGCCCCCCCCCCCCCCCCCCCCCCCCCCCCCCCCCCGAGGAAATCCAGTGTTTTCATTAAATGTCCCCAACACTTTCAGAGTAGTGCTTCCCCCTGATGAACTTTCCCCAGTAACAACTTCGTATTGTACAATGTATGTAAATTAGATTCATGCCATTGGTTCCCTTCCCCCAAGACCATGTGCCCTGCCACCCTGTAAGACCAAACACCCCTCAGAAGCAGACCAGCGGCAGTAGAGAGAACACTGTATTTTTGAGCCTCTCTTTCCTCTTGATTTTTCTTGGGTGCGCTTTGCCCAGTGTGAGTGTTTTTCTGCTAGTCGAGTTACAGATTTTCTGCCTGAGTGTTCTTTAAGGTCCACTTATTATTTACACACTGTGTTGGTTTTAGGGTTTTAGTTTTTTGGTTTAAGTCTTTGTTTTATAATTTGTTTTAGATAATTTATTCTTTGCTTAGTTTCTGGTTTTTGATTTAAGGTTTTTGTAAATAAATTCTTTTTGGTCCTTTTTTGGTTTGAAATCTAGAATTGTGTCCCTTGTCTCTATAATTCAATTTCCTCGCGCCTTTTCCTTTCAAGATCCTGAATTTAGTTTAGTTGTAGTAGTTTTAGTGCGAGTTCCCCACAGTGAGTCAATTGTCCAGGTTACACACACACCAGCCTCACACACACAAATTCCAGTACGCTGAAAAGGGCAAAGCACATTAATATTTAAAGGGAATATACAACATTTGCAAACATCAAAAAACAAAACTACCAAATTATCACAAAATACCTTACTGGAATCTTAGTGAATGACAGTCTAAGGCAGCCTGTAAAATCATGGCACCTGGTGTGCTGTCATTTTCAATAAAAGTGGTATTTTTAAAATAAATTTCCAACGATGGTCGGTCAACCAGCGTTGGAAAAAAAACAGGCTTTTGTTCAAATACTGCCCCCAATTTACCATATTTAGTTAGTCCGCATTTTACGTTTGCAATCGATTACACACCTATGAACTGGTACAAGCCAGCTAGACTGGTTCCCTGAACTTACAATTCCCTGATGTCTATAAATTGCTCCGTTTCATCCTACATGTCCTAAGTGGGGTCAGGGAACCAGACTACAGTAACTTGATTGCATTTCTTGTTTTTTCCAGCATAGTACAAACACAAAACTAAAATACTAACCCCCAAAATCCATCCACTTCTGAAAATTAGGCCTACAGCAAAAGCAAATGAAATATTCCCTTTAACATGTATTTCTCATGACTGGAATGTTTTTGGATGAGCAATACCGTGCTATAAATAGACATTTGTCATGACTGTTTGTTTATTTTGGATGAGAAATACACATAGAGCTGTATTATACAGCTCTATGGAAATACATGTCCCAAGCTATAAATAGACATTGGTTGAAGCTGCTATAGTGAAAAAAATTGCATTCATCGTCTGTGAAGCAATCAATGTGTAAGTTCTTCCTGCTGCTTAAACCTTTGACACATGTTTGATAAGTAGCTGCAGTTTAATACAAGTACACATGAGGTGTGTTCTGGAAGGCTGTCAAAGATTCAAATATTCAAGGTGAGTAAATGCCAAATCTACAGAAAATGGCACTTCAAACTTTTGGCAACAGTGTGCACAAAGTACATGTAAGGTAATAGGTGGGCTTTCTTTTGGCGATCTGTCCTTCATCATCAATCACTAACACTCAACTTTCAACGAGAATTTCTGCTTCATTAATGGGAATATACAACATTTGGTTTTACTGTAATTTTAAGAAATGGATGGATTTGGGGGTTAGTATTTTATAGCAAATGTTGTCACACTGACTTGTTTGTGTATACAAATTGTGGATGCTGGAAAAACCAAGAAAAAAAACATATTCCTGTAGCCTGGTTCCCTTGACCCCACTTAAGATGAAATTGAACAATTTATAGACTCAGGGAATTGTAAGGTCAGGGAACCAGTCTAGCTGGCTTGTACCTGTTCATAGGTGTGTAATCGATTGCAAACACAAAGCGGACTAACTAAATATGGTAATTCGGGGGCAGTTAAAAAAAAAGCCAGTTTTTTCCAACGCTGGTCGGCCGACCAGCATTGGAAATTGATACAAAAATCCCATTTATCTTAAAAATGACAGCACACCAGATGCCATGATTTTACAGGATGCTTTAGACTGTCATGCACTAACAGTCCAGTAAGGTATTTCATAATAATTTCGTAGTTTTGTTTTTTGATGTTTGCAAATTCCCTTTAACCCCTAACCCTCAAAGGGCTGTTTGGGGGTCAAGTACCAAGTACCACAGAACACTTCATGTGTTGTGCACACTTGTATGGAAAGAAATTCATACTACAGGTTACTCCTCAGTAGTATTTTGTAGCATATTGGGGGCGGTTAGAGTTTTAATATATTAGTTGTAGCAGGTTATAGGCCTATAGCACTATTATATTTTAAAGAACTGTTTCTCTATCTATCGTTGGGTAAAGTCTATCAAGATACAATGTGTATGTATACATGTACATGTAAGTTTCACTCGATGGCCAGCATAGTCAAACACGTACAGATCCAAAAAGGTCCTTTTTGACCACTTTCCAAGGAAAGTGTCGTGTCGTATCAAAAACGAAGCAAAGGGTTATTTTTTATAAGAAAAAAAAATGACAAAACTGAGATTTGGAGAAAAAGAAGTCATTTCTGTGTTCTTTTTTTTTAACAGGGTCATATCTTGATATACAAAATGTACATGTAAGCACAATATATATTTGACACTGGGAAATAAATGGGGTTTTGTGTGATTCTGCGATAATGCGTTTAGGCATTAAAGAAAAAATCAACCAAGTTTAAGTCAGTCACTAATTGGTAAGTTTGCATGGAATATATCTGGAAAAAAAAATTGGTCCTTTTCTGTCCATGTTACCTATGAACTTTGTACTGTGCCATCCAAGTGTTTGAAAATGACTTCATACTACTTATTATTTGTTGAGTGGTTCTTTTGTGTCACCAGTCCTTCTGTTTTGAGGCGTGCGATCGCACCTCCACGCCATCACACGCCTAAAAGCTTCCCGAGAAAGGCGAATAATCGCACGCCTGAATCCCTCAGTACCGCACACCTCGGCATACATTTACAGCATAATTATACTTCATCATCGGTGAAGAGAAAACAGCTTTATTGTAAACCAAGATGAATAAAATAAAAAATAAACCAGATTGTTTAGTCCCAACTTTGAGCACAGAATCACACGCCTAGAAAAATCACATGCCTAGAAAAATCACATGCCTAGAAAAATCACACGCCTAGAAAAATCACACGCCTAGAAAAATCACACGCCTAGAAAAATCACAAGCCTAGACAAATCACACGCCTAGAAAAATCACACACCTAGAAGAAAATCACACGCCTAGAAAAATCACACGCCTAAAAAAATCACACACCTAGAAGAATCACACCCCTAGAAAAATCACATGCCTAGAAAACCACACGCCTAGAAAAATCACACGCCTAGAAAAATCACACGCCTAGAAAAATCACACGCCTAGAAAAATCACACACCATCATGTAGAAAAATCACACGCCTAAAAAATGTCCACCGTTTTCAACACGCCTGTGATTTTCAAAACAGAAGGACTGCTTTACATAATCACTCTTCGAGGAAAAATGCATTAGGGAGTGCATCCAGAATTACAAAATCATAGATGTCAGATGTAACAGGGACAGGAAGAAATGTGGACCCCAAATTTATAGAAGGACCAACTTTTAAACTCTTTGTCTTTCTTTCTGAAACAACTCAAATTTTGAAAATTTACAGCTTGACTGGTGGAAACTATGGATGTCAAACCAGGCAACTGTTGGCGCTGTATGAAACCCCTGCCAGAGAGTCTGGTGACATGTGGTCGTTGCCCACAGGCCAAGTACTGCAGTGATCAGTGCCAAGAGCAAGACAGGGTCAGGCATGGGGCCGTGGAGTGCCAGATGTTTGGGCCCAAAAGTTGCAGTTATTGCAAGAAAACAGGGGAAATGAAACAGGTCAGTTGACTTGATCACGTAGACCAGGAAAAAGTGAATATGTGGACTGTAGATGTAACAAACTGGTATTCATTCTGCATTATCCATGTTGGGGTTTTCAAAGAAATTACGAGAATCTGGGGGGGGGGGAATATGAAAATACATTAAATACTTTTTAGGCTTGTGACAAAAATGGAATGTTTCACATTGAAAGGCTGTGATTAGTATTTTCTTTCTGATTTGGAATGTTTATCTTTCTGGCACATACTCAAATAAACGTACAATTTAACCAGTTCACGCCGGGATTATTTTGACCAAAAAAAACGAGGCGCAGGATTACTTTTCACTCGACCTCAAGCCAGGCGGGATGAAGCCATCACCCTCGGGCAGCAAACTCATATTTCCTGCCTCGCTCGTTGCGAGCGGGTTGCCGACAGATATTTCCGGCCTCGCTCCTTGCGTGTTTATCCGTCATCCGTTCCGAATACCGCAAAACTTTTGCATGTATACACAGCCTCCAGCGTAAACTGGTTAACTGGTTAATTTTAAGCACTGCTATAAATTAAGACCCACTAACCAAAATCAGAATGAACAGAAACACATTAACTTTGTAGTATCATTAATTTTTCATTGTTATGCTTTAGTTGTCAAGCTGTTTTGAAGACGTGATCGGATGCACGTACAAAAAATACATGAATTGTTTATATATTCGATGGACTTTTTGGAGCATAAGCATAAGACTGACAGACTCTAAATTACACTATGTTTGCTGTATCTTCCCAGTGCGCAGGATGCAACAACGCATGGTACTGCAATGGCACATGCCAACGGAAGAGCTGGGCAGCCCATAAAGAGGTATGCCAAGACATCCAAGCAATGATCGCTGATCTTTCTCTTGAACTGACTAATAAGTATACTGATCTTGCAAAAGGAGATGTTACCCACACACGGGAGACATTCCTAGATCCCCCTTATTACTTTGGCAACACGATGGCATGCGATTTCCTTCAGCTTGGGCAGAATGAATGGGCAGACGGAATCAGGGCAGACGAGACAATGCGTGACTTCCACATCCTTTCAGCAGGGTGTGGAGATCTGCGACACACAGTGCTGACGGCTGCCTCCTTGCCTGCAGAGTACCAGGGAAAAGTTCATATTGTGCTCAATGACTTGGACCCTTATGTCATGGCCAGGAATGTCCTGTTCCTTTACATGTTGATTCTGCACAAAGACAGGGAAGGCATTGCCGCCAGCCTAGCCACACTCTGGTACTCTCTGCACATCTCCAAGTGTGACTACAACCTGACCAAAACAAGCCTGAGGAAACTCATCCAAGCTGATGCCAGGAGCATTCAAGAAGCCATGAAGGGGTGTGTGTCCATCAGCGACGAGGATCTGGCCAAACTTCGTTATGTCTGGAAAGGTTGGTACTCCCTCGAGTGCGAACGCATCAAAAGCTCCTCGGTGAACCTTACAAAGCAAAGACAGGCTGTCTTTGCAGAGAATTTCTTCTTCAGCCATGAATTACAGCTCTACTATGAAAGGCTCTCACCTAAGGAAGCCAAGAACTTAAAGACGTGGTTCCAGCGTGGCCTATTTCTTGCTCAAGACAGCTCGGTGAGAAGTCTGCCATTTGACAACCCAACTCTCACAGCAAGAAGACAACAAATTGTAGGCGGATATATGGAAGCCACTGACGATTTTGTGTACTGCATCCATCGCAATCTCACTCCATTCACAGCTTTGGACAGCCTGCAAGTGCAGGGGTCTGCAGGTGAAACAACTTCTACTCCCACCGTCATGTACCACAAATATGTGGAGAAGCAGCTGCAGAAAACATCAACCCTCCTAGCCCAGGATAGGCTCCACATACACATGCTGGTTTCTAGCTGCCTTGAAATCCCACGTCATCACCAGGCTCAGAAAATGGCCAAGTTTGACCGCATCTTCACATCCAACCTGGCCGACTTCGTGGGCTGCCGCAAGCTTCTCCAAACTCTCAGGCCACTGATGAATCCAAACAATAAGAATGCCACGCTAGTTACCGAGACTATGAATTGGATCCTATACATGCCAGAGGCAAACGTGTGGGATGAACGTTCTGGGAGAGATATCAACGACTCCACCAAGACAACGATGCAGCTATGCAAAGATGACACGGGGAAGGCGCTCTCCAGTCCGATGGCTATCAGCAACCAGATTGAGTACTTCAACAACACTCACTGGTTTTGTGCATACCTACGGGCAAACATGATGGCCGGGGGCTTCCATATCCCAGAGCTGGACCATATTCCAAATCTCAAGGAGGCCATGAAGTGTGAAGGGCTGCAGATGCATGACTTTCGGGAGGAACTCAACAAACTGGTGCCGTTCAAGTTTCGAGTGAATGCCAGGAGCCTTACCTCTCCCACTGGTGCAGAGAGGGCACTGGAATGGTACTTGCCTTCTGACCGCTAAGCTCTGGTATATCTCGTGCATTCTGATGGATCGGAGCGTGCCAATCATCAAGAAGAATGTTCAGACTTCAATTGTGCATCTGTACATACTAAGTTAACTTTAATACACCATCCATATTTCAATGGAAGCTGGCTGAATTTTTTTCACAATAAGCAGTTGAAGTATGAAGACTGATGAATCCAACTGTTTGAAACAACTTCTTCTTTGTCCCGTACACCTCAAGCTCTGTCTGAAAACTTATACAACTTCCAATTATGACAGTGGTGTGCTGTCTGCTAGAGGGTCACTGACATTTTAGAATCTGGAGTTGGCTTCATCAATGGCAGTTTATCACCATCATTATCTGGAACTGCATGCTGCCAAGAAAGGTGAATCTGTTCACCATACTCAGCTTTGGTCCTTGACAGATAGATTTGGTCCTGGACTTGTTGTTATTGTTGTTGTTGTTGTTGTTGTTGAGACGCTACATTATGCCTTGCCCAGGCTCTGGCACATTGAATGTAGCACTCTAGATCCTCTTGCTAGCAGGACTCTGTCAGTAGAAGGCAGATAAGGTGATGTTCCATTGTCTGAGGGGCATCTCTACAGTCATAAAGGTCATATGTCTATCAGTGTCGTATCTCCACTTCTGCATTAAGACTTTGCATCTAACTCCAACCCATAATGCCGGTTGAGACAGAGCCATCCTTGACTATGGCTCAGTAGCTCCAGGTGGCAGGTTTCTGACATGGTCTTTACTGGTCTAGAGTAACTCCAAGGTACACTGGCTTTGAGATGTGAGACAGTTTCCTGCCATAACAGTGGGCATTAAGTTATCTCTGTGAATCCCTCCTCTTTAAGTGACATGCACTACCTTGTGTTTTCTCTGGGTTGGCTAGCAGGTGGTTGGTTGCATAGCAGCCAGTCAGTGCACAGGTGAGAGACTGTTCTGTATCACCACAAAGCTTTGGGCCTGGGTGGCGATGCAGAGGTCCTCATCATACAAGAAACTCGTTGTGCCAGGATATATAAGCTGATCATTGGTGTATCCATGAATTGTTAGCCTTCCTTCATTTTATGAGCCCCTACACCCACGGACGTGTGAAAAATCATATGAAAATCAGAGGATTCAGCACCCGATTTCACGAAGCGCTGCGACGCGTCGCAACTCGAGTTACGACGTGTCTATTGGTCGTCGCAAAATAAGAAGAGTCATTTCTAAGCCAGTTTTATGCCACAAACATTACATTAACAAGATTATAATACCGAGGCAATGTGTGTTAAGTTGTAAATAGAAAATTCATTGAATAATTATGAATTAGACCGGAATATTAGAGTTGAAATTTCAAAGAAGCTATACAGTCCAATGAGAGCTTGTTTCCCTTCAAAATTGCATCGCACGGCCGCCATTTTGTTTTACGTTTTAACAAATTCGAGCTGAGATCCAACGACTCTTTGTTGAATATCAGACGACTATTTACTGTACGCTGACTAAAGACATAAAACAGTCATCGGGTTGTGCTATAAATACACCTACGACGCGTCGCACTTACGACGTGTTTAGTGAAATGGATCGCAGCTGCGACGCATCGTAGAGATACGACGCGTCGCATCACTGCGATGCATCGTAAGTTATGAAGAGTTTGATGAAATCGGGTGCAGGATTGTTAGGGTTTAGTGCTCGGTAACAAGAAAGCATCAAAATGTTGACAAACGCTTCTCAATTATGATTAATAGCTCTGCAGTTAAAATTAGTGCAGCCGAACCATCGAACCGAACAGAAATTTGCTTAAACATAGGACTTCCGAACCAAACAGAACCAAACTCAATTGTTCAGTTTGGCATGTTCAGAAACACGATATTTAGCCCTGTGTGTTTCAAACTGCACAACTGAAATAATCATTTTAATAAAAAATTATTTAATTTTACTTATAATTAAAAGAAAACAATATTTAAGGTTGACACGTATACACAACACGCACACACAAGTGTGTATTTCACGCATGCGTAATAACAGATTTTTATACAACACTTTTAACTAAGATCAAAGCCACTTACATTACTATTATTACCCCTTGTACAGTGTTTTTCAATTTGTAATGGCAGTCATGAGAATTAAAAAACGAGGAAATCAGCGGATCCGAGGAAAAGTTGCATGCCTGGTATTTACCTGCAATCATGGACCCCCTATTGTCCCTCTTTTGTTTGTACTTCAACTTTTTAGGAAGACCTCCCATACGTTTTGTACACGAATCCAAATTGGGGACCTCTCGGGAATTAGTGACCCTTTTGTCCTCTATATGGTTCAACGTCCCCTAATGAATGCAGAAACAAACTCACACCCAATGAGGTGGTGTTCCGAACTCCAAATCACCTGCACTCATTCACACGCTAGTACACACGACTTTGGAATTCTCTCGCCAAGTCCACTGTGGGGACCGAAGGGCGTGTGAAATTACGGCAAAAATGAACAGTCTAAGGCTTTGACTAAGGGAATAAATGTGTGCTCCGGAGGTTTTTATCACTCTGTTTAATACCGCTTAAGAGTCTGGGTGCTGATAATTACCCGAGCCGGAGGCGAGGGTAATTATCAGCACCCAGACTCTAAGCGGTATTAAACAGAGCGATAAATACCGACGGAGCACATATTTATTCCCATTCATAAATACCTTATCCGTAAAAAAAATATCAAATAATTCGTTCAAAAAATCCCAATTTTGTTCAACAAGTTCACTTCATGCTTTTTGAAACATCCCTCTAGCAAAATAATGGAGTGTTCAGCTGGCGAGTAAGATGTAAACAACCCTTTTATGAAGATTGACGCGCGCATAGCATGTTCTACGCGATGTCACGCAGAACGCACCTGGGGCGTTGCGTTTTGGATTTAGAACTATAAAATTCTGACTCGCTTGTAGTGTTGCGCATGCCTACGTGAGGATTGTGAACGTTCAACCAATGAAACGGTAAGAGGCACTGGATTTTTAGGAGTCCACATTTTATTGTGACACTGGAAAAGTGTTTAAGACCAGCTAGCCATGTCTTTATCATCCGCTTAAGACCGGCCACGTGACGGGCTCTCGACCAATAGGAATAGCTAAACTGTCTGAGGTATTTATGAATTTGCGTTTAATTTTGTAAATGTTTAGCATTTATTTTTAAGAAGCGTTTAAGCATTTAGGCATTTCACATAGGCCAATGCCTGCCTTTTATGTCTGCACCGGCGTGATTGACATGATAAATCAACAATGATTGACATAATAGCGGGCAGTCACTGAAAAAGTAATCACGTACTGCAGTGCTTCTAAGGTTTTGCAAATTAAATAGGTTTGAAAACATTGTTAATCGTTTTTTGCTATGTATGTTTAACTCAAAGGAAGATCTTCGTTAATGTACCGGTAGGTCCCTTTTGTTTTTAAGTCAAATTTCTAATAAAAAACCTTTTGGGAAAATTTGTAAACGGATTGAAAATTGTTTTCGTTCAAACATGCAAATGCCATAGGCCATCAGCCTCGGTCCAAAATGTTGGCCACCGGTATCAAATGAGGGGAATAATCGTCATAGCGATTTTTGGCAAGCTATAAACCTTCGGGGTTTGAAAAATGTGATAGCATTGCAACGGTGGCAGCTTTTTGGGTGTTATCACCTTTTTTTTCTTCAAAATGTCCATCAAAATGCTTGTTACCACTCTAGGGGTGGTATGCCTTGCGCATGCGCACTATAATCATTTATGCCCTGATTTGATACTGGCCAAACCCCCAGGCTGATGGCCAACCACGTCCTTAGACCATTCATCTATTTAGTTTTGTTGAAGCTTAACATGGACGCTCTGTCCACCTATCAAAGGAATATACGTTAAAAAAGTGTATCGTTCAAAATGAAGCAGAACTGCGCAGCACTGAAGATAAGTACATAGAATGAAAATAACATATGTAGCACGATATGACACAGAGGGAACCCCCCATTCCTTTGTGTTGGTCATTGTGTTACCAGAATTTCAGGAATTCTTTTGGGATATCTAGGGGGATGTATTAGGTAACAATTGTCTAGGGTTTGCATAGGGTATAAAGAGATTGGGGGGGGGGGGGGGGGACGGTGCCCCTTTGTCTCATATCTTGCTGGGTATAGAAAAAAACTTCAAGCAGTGTTCACCAGGAATATTGGAGCTGAATTTTCGGCCCGACTCGGCCTTCATCGGAGCTGGGAGTTGAACTGGCAGTTTGAATGCAGAAAAGCCCACATTCAAACCGCAGAAAATTCCACATTAAAACTGCAGAAAACTCCACATTCAAACGCTCACGCCAGGCGGTTTGAATGTGGAATTTTCTGCGTTCCAACCCCCAGTCCAACTCCCAGCTTCCATGCAGGCCTAGTCTGGCCGAAATTTCAGCTCCAGTACTCCTGGTGAACACTGCTTTAACTTTATAAAAAAAAATATACTCACCTTGCACTTGGGGCAGACAAAGCCACTCATGTTTTCAACAACACCCAGGATGGGCAGGTTGACCTTCTGGCAGAAGTTGATTTCTTTGCGAACATCCATCAGAGAAATTTCCTGCAAATTGCCCAATAAAAGCTGCCTCCATGAGTTAAATAAAATTAAAAAGGTTGTTCAATTGCTGGGCTAGTCAGTGCCAGCTTGTTAACTCTTTACTGGTAACAATTTTAAAAATATGGGTTTTTTCCATACAAACCTGTAATGTATTACCTGACCATAAAACCTCACACTTTTGCTTCTTATCATTCTTCACGTTAGGCCTAAAAAAAAGAATAATTCTGCTTCTGAATACATGGCATTTGAAAATAGGGTAGGTAGGGGATTTTTTTTTGGGGGGGGGACATTTTTGTGTGTACAATCTTATGGAGGTGTCTGCGCAGGGGTAGCAATTGATGATTTTCAGGTTTTTTCCCCTCATTTTTACCCCAAAACAATTAGGGTAGGGGCTGTCAAAATAGGGTCGGTAGGGTAACCGGAAGCAGAACTATTAGTTTTTTTGGCCTTAACATTGCTTTCAGTTAAAGTTTACCATTGTTTAGTAATTAATCTTGTTTGTATAACAGGCAAAGGCTATAGCAGTATAATCCGTTTAATAGACCTTATAGCTAAAAACTATGTACACGTACTACAGGAGTTTAAATTAAAACAACACTGTACACGTTTAAGTCATGCATTTATTTAGTGTAAAAGTCTCGCTGTTTAAATAGGATTTTCTCTTGTTTCCTTCAAGCCTCTAATTAATGTGAGTCACATGCTAATGGGCTTTTAATGTTACAGTCGATTTTAGATTTAACTTGTATTCCGTATCGTCCACTGTCATTATTTTCCACACTGATTACATCTCGGATGTTTTACGGAATCTGTGCAGGAACTGTAGCACTATTGGAAAGCTCCAGTCATGGCCATCTTGAGATGTCTGTGGCTTCAGCGTGGCCACTCATCAAATTTCAAAACTGTGATCAATTTAATTCAAAATTGTGATCAAATTTTCACTGTTTCCATTGCAAAATGGCAAAAGCTTGAGTTCAAATTATGCGACATCAGCCTCATTTTTTTGCAGAGCGGGTCACAATTGTATTCTAAATCTGCACAAACCCGTAGTGTCTTCGCGTGAGAGAGTGTCAGTTATCTGCAATATTGGCTGAGATATAATGGAAAATTGATTTTTGGGTAATGGCGGCACTAATTTGCATAAATCAATACATGGGATTTTTTTTTAATTTTTCAACATAGCAAATAATTTTTGACGCATTTTTTTTCTGACCTAGAGACATGAATAAGATGTTGATTTCTGAGGGTGAACGATAACCCCTTCTTCCCACTATTAAACTAAGGGAGGATAACAAAAGGATTTTTCCCGTTCCGACACGAGCGCACGGGAGGAACGGGCCTATTGTTCCTAATCCCCCCGGGCATTCGCCCAGGCCCCGTTCCGACCGCGGGATCACGCCTGAAATTGCCTAACAATAGCACAATGAAATGGTCACGTTGAGTGCCCACAGCACGGTAGTACAATAGACCTGTGCAGTGACGACCGTGGATAATGGCAACTGCTCAGATAATATCCGAAGAAACATCGGCCACACTGAAATTGACAAAGAGACTTTTCAAGATGTTTTCTCATCTCTTGCAGGCGATGTATACTTGAAGATGGATAGTGATTTAACTTGTTAAAATGCTCAACAAATGGAGAAGACGTCTCGGAAAGTAGAGTTACACATACGTGTTTTATAGTTTTGTGTATTTGAAGGGAAATGTGCAACATTTTACAACAGAGTGACGTCTAATGGAGTGACTGAAGGAAATATTCCTGAATAAACGATCCCAGCCGGACCCGCCGACCAACCCATGGACTAAATTAGTGCCCCAACCACGTGTTTCATCTTACGAAAGACGCACTGCTCAACTATGTCACGCACAGCTGGCCACTGGTTATCTACTGTCAGATCAGCGAGGCTGGCTACATTTATATACAATTGTAACAATCGTGAATCGTTGGTGGGTATTTTTCGGTGTGGATCTTGAAAAGCATGAGCCAGTATATAAACCAATGGCCCAATGTCCTACCTGCGGTGTCGTTACCAGCACAGCACCGTCCACATTGGTACAGCTGAGGTACTGCACAATGGACAGGTGTTCGTCTGAGGTCCCTGGGGGCGTGTCCACTATGAGGTAGTCCGTGTCACCCCAGTCTACATCTCGTAAGAACTGCTTGATGAGACCTATAATAATGATGAGGGGCTGACAATATATTAAAGAGGTTGTGGAATGCTCGAAGACATTACCGTCATTTTTCGGGTATATGTAGCCTAAGGTGTGATGAAATAAAAACGACTATTGTGTCTGTCATGAAATGAGTACAAAAGGTACTTTTGAGAGCTGTTTTTCAGGTCCAGTTTCGACCCGAACGTGCAACTGTGTAAAAGTCGTCGTTGCGGGCAGCAAACAAAACACAGTAAATCGTGACGTAATAAACAGGACTCGTGTATGCTACTGTGCATCGGGAGTCCTGTTTATTACGTCACGATTTACTGTGTTTTGTTTGCTGCCCGCAACGACGACATTTACCCAGTTGCACGTTCGGGTCGAAACTGGACCTGAAAAACAGCTCTCAAAAGTACCTTTTGTACTCATTTCATGACAGACACAATAGTCGTTTTTATTTCATCACACCTTAGGCTACATATACCCGAAAAATGACGGAAATGTCTTCGAGCATTCCACATCCTCTTTAAGCCAATCAAAAATATAAAAGTTGCAGGTAAGCATATATCCACAATAGGCCCATCAGATTCTTCCTGCAATGAAGTTATCATTGTTGACAACCTGTAATTTCATAATATGAAGAATCCAGGAAGGTGATCAGAATCCTGCAACTTAGGCCAAAAACAAAAAATATTCGGTCTCTGGTCAGACCAAAGTTCCGGAATTGACGCGGCCACGCGGCTTTTTTTTTTTCTTTTCGCTTTTTTTTTTTTTTCTTCACGCTTGGATTGTACAGACAAGGTGGGGTACTATTTTGCTTTTTTGGTGTCCTCATGTACGTTGGTGTCCTCCATCATTTGCCTTGGTGCTTTCGATCATTTGCCTTGGTGCAATTTCCCATTCCTTGGTGCTCTTTGCTAAAAAGAAAATGAGGAGGTGCGGAAATAGAGGGCGCCGTTGGAGCTACCGCGGAACATTTTGGAAAAAAAAAAGATCGACGCGCATGATTAAAATCAACGCTCGCGCTGACCAGAGACCGACTTATTTTTTTTTTTGGCCTTATACCGGATACAATGGGCCCGCTATGGACTTTTGCGCGACCTATCCCAGATGAGATGAGATTTATTGGAATAAGATTCTCTATTTGGGAAGTACTTTTTTCCAACTTTCACTCGGGAGGCAACATACTGAGTATACAGTCTGTATACGTCGGTCTAGGGCAAAACCTTTGAGTGGTAAGACGATGTCACACACTGAACCAACGAATTATATCAACCATAAGAGATGCGACAGGGTCTGCTTGAAAAAAACGGAACCTGGTCTGCTTGAAAAAAAAACGGAACTGCTGCTTGAAAAAAACGGAACTTTTTTGTGTGAAAAAGCCACTCCGTGTCCGACACAAAGTCCCCGTTGTCATCTTTATCTTGTAGTCAAGCCAAGTTCTGTTTATTTTTTAATTTTGCTTCTATAGCCTTTAAAGCTGTCGGTTCGTTCAATCACTTTGACTTTTTCCCATATTCGTAATATTTATTCTGCCTACCCGAATTTCCAACGTAATATTCGACGCGAAACATGCATGATTCCACAACACTGCTGTCGGTGTACATGATCCTTGCACTACGCGATGCGCTCAACGAAAACATGGTTGGTACCCAGCGTTTTTTGTATTTACATATATCACTGCGATCGGAAACCACCAATAGCTGAAATGATAGACTTGATTTCCAGGCTTAATGCATGCCCGCACGCGGTGAAGCACGAGCGAGGCGCCGTTGCATACTGCGGGCAAGTACGTTGGCCGCTTGTATCGCATGCAGGCTCGGCAACAACATTCACAAAGACCGTTTTTAAGACTACTTCAACGAACAACGTTGTGCCATGCGTGCGCCTAAATGTACTAAATCGAGGTAAAAATCAACGCATTTTCACAGTTTTTCTTCTCTTTTTCTGGTTAATTTGACGGCCGGAAAAAACGGAATTTTGTGCGATTTTTTTTAAAAAACGGAATTCCGGTTAACACCGGAAAAGTGGCATCTCTGAATCACGCGCGCGTGTGTGTCGTGTCAACGCTTGTGCGCATCCATTCACGGCTTTGCCGAATTAAAAATGAACAGAAATTTCCAAAGATGCGTCTTTAAATGCATCGTTGGAAATGACCTTTTAATGTTTTCTTCAAAATGACAGCATGCCAGAAGGAATAATTTCACAGGGAGTTTATTGCCATTACTATCTTTTAAAAACCGAGTAAGCTTTTCAATAATACTTTGGTCAGTTACTTTTTTATAGCTGCAAATGATCTACTCTACCTTTAAACTGAATGTACCGAGCAGTGTTTCGTTGAGTCTATCACACAGACCAGTCACAAGGAACAGTGGATCAGCAATATAAACAAAGGAATGCCTTTGTCACAATTCACATAAATAGCTGGTGACTGGAATTGGGGCTGGAGGACTTGTGGGGACTTGCAGGCACTTGTGACAGACTCGACTAACAACACTGGTACCGAGTGATACAATAAATTACCGTTTTTCTTGGGACCTCTCCAAATGACTGCATCGTCCGGGCTACTCAACAGGAAACCAACCGACATCACACTCAGGTTGTCTTCCACATACTGAGAACAATGGAGAAAAAAATTGAGAACAATTGTTTTAAAATGCATCAGCATCTCGGACAAAAATTAAACATTGTACATTAAGTAAGAATAACCAATAAAAAAGCACATCCAAGACGATTTATGTCCTATTTGTACTTCACAAGAATCAAAGAAAAATGTTGACTCCACGAAACATTCACTCCAAAATTGGAAATGCGTTCACATTTTGCAAAATAGCAATTTGAAAAGTTGACACAAGGTCACAAATTAGTGTTTGCTTTCCTTTTGCTCATTCAAAAAGGCAAAAAATTGTTTTTGAGATGTACAATTGGCCAAAAAAAGAAGAAGAAGAAAAAAATCCACAAGGAATACTTCGGTCAACTTTAAAACTGTATTCTCTGAAATGAATGGGGTTGTACTAGACGATGGTACGTAATCAGAAGTTAAGTAGGATTTTTTTTATGCTTTCATTGTTCTCCAGTATTTTCTTGGCAAGATCCATTCAACTTTGTGAACCCCACCTCCTTAATAATTCAACATACTGATTGGACTCTTCCTCAAACGGTCTGGGATGGGAATTTGAGGTCAAACCTTACCACAGGTGACCATCCAGACCCACTCTGATGAACCTGCTCCCCCACCAGGCCCATGACTCTAGGAATGGATGGGATTGTAATTTGAGGTCGGGCCTTACCACAGGTGACCATCCGGACCCGCTCTGATGAACCTGTTCCCCCTCCAGACCCATGACTCTAGGAATGGAAGGGATTGTAATTTGAGGTCAGGCCTTACCACAGGTGACCATCCAGACCCACTCTGATGAACCTGCTCCCCCACCAGGCCCATGACTCTAGGAATGGATGGGATTGTAATTTGAGGTCGGGCCTTACCACAGGTGACCATCCGGACCCGCTCTGATGAACCTGTTCCCCCTCCAGACCCATGACTCTAGGAATGGAAGGGATTGTAATTTGAGGTCAGGCCTTACCACAGGTGACCATCCAGACCCACTCTGATGAACCTGCTCCCCCTCCAGGCCCATGACTCTAGGAATGGAAGGGATTGTAATTTGAGGTCAGGCCTTACCACAGGTGACCATCCGGACCCGCTCTGATGAACCTGCTCCCCCTCCAGGCCCATGACTCTAGGAATGGAAGGGATTGCAATTTGAGGTCAGGCCTTACCACAGGTGACCATCCGGACCCGCTCTGATGAACCTGCTCCCCCTCCAGGCCCATGACTCTAGGAATGGAAGGGATTGTAATTTGAGGTCAGGCCTTACCACCGGTGACCATCCGGATCCACTCTGATGAACCTGCTCCCCCTCCAGGCCCATGACTCTAGGAATGGAAGGGATTGTAATTTGAGGTCAGGCCTTACCACAGGTGACCATCCTGACCCACTCTGATGAACCTGCTCCCCCTCCAGGCCCATGACTCTAGAAATGGAAGGGATTGTAATTTGAGGTCAGGCCTTAACACAGGTGACCATCCAGATCCACTCTGATGAACCTGCTCCCCCTCCAAGCCCATGACTCTAGAAATGGAAGGGATTGTAATTTGAGGTCAGGCCTTACCACAGGTGACCATCCTGACCGGCTCTGATGAACCTGCTCCCCCTCCAGGCCCATGACTCTAGAAATGGAAGGGATTGTAATTTGAGGTCAGGCCTTACCACAGGTGACCATCCGGACCCGCTCTGATGAACCTGCTCCCCCTCCAGGCCCATGACTCTAGGAATGGAAGGGATTGCAATTTGAGGTCAGGCCTTACCACAGGTGACCATCCAGACCCACTCTGATGAACCTGCTCCCCTTCCAAGCCCATGACTCTAGGAATGGAAGGGATTGTAATTTGAGGTCAGGCCTTACCACAGGTGACCATCCTGACCTGATCTGTTGAACCTGCTTCCCCTTCCAGGCCCATGACTCTAGGAATGGAAGGGATGGTAATTTGAGGTCAGGCCTTACCACAGGTGACCATCCTGACCCGCTCTGATGAACCTGCTCCCCCTCCAGGCCCATGACTCTAGGAATGGAAGGGATTGTAATTTGAGGTCAGGCCTTACCACAGGTGACCATCCTGACCCACTCTGATGAACCTGCTCCCCCTCCAGGCCCATGACTCTAGGAATGGAAGGGATTGTAATTTGAGGTCAGGCCTTACCACAGGTGACCATCCTGACCCGCTCTGATGAACCTGCTCCCCCTCCAGGCGCATGACTCTAGGAATGGAAGGGATTGTAATTTGAGGTCAGGCCTTACCACAGGTGACCATCCAGACCCACTCTGATGAACCTGCTCCCCTTCCAGGCCCATGACTCTAGGAATGGAAGGGATTGTAATTTGAGGTCAGGCCTTACCACAGGTGACCATCCTGACCCGCTCTGATGAACCTGCTCCCCCTCCCAACCCATGACTCTAGGAATGGAAGGGATTGTAATTTGAGGTCAGGCCTTACCACAGGTGACCATCCTGACCCACTCTGATGAACCTGCTCCCCCTCCGGGCCCATGACTCTAGGAATGGCAGGGATTGTAATTTGAGGTCAGGCCTTACCACGGGTGACCATTCCGACCCACTCTGATGAACCTGCTCCCCTTCCAAGCCCATGAGTCTAGGAATGGAAGGGATTGTAATTTGAGGTCAGGCCTTACCACAGCTGACCATCCTGACCTGATCTGTTGAACCTGCTTCCCCTTCCAGGCCCATGACTCTAGGAATGGAAGGGATTGTAATTTGAGGTCAGGCCTTACCACAGGTGACCATCCGGACCCGCTCTGATGAACCTGCTCCCCCTCCAGGCCCATGACTCTAGGAATGGAAGGGATTGTAATTTGAGGTCAGGCCTTACCACAGGTGACCATCCTGACCCACTCTGATGAACCTGCTCCCCTTCCAAGCCCATGACTCTAGGAATGGAAGGGATTGTAATTTGAGGTCAGGCCTTACCACAGGTGACCATCCAGACCCACTCTGATGAACCTGCTCCCCCTCCAGGCCCATGACTCTAGGAATGGAAGGGATTGTAATTTGAGGTCAGGCCTTACCACGGGTGACCATCCAGACCCACTCTGATGAACCTGCTCCCCCTCCGGACCCATGACTCTAGGAATGGCAGGGATTGTAATTTGAGGTCAGGCCTTACCACAGGTGACCATCCTGACCCGCTCTGATGAACCTGCTCCCCCTCCAGGCCCATGACTCTAGAAATGGAAGGGATTGTAATTTGAGGTCAGGCCTTACCACAGGTGACCATCCAGACCCACTCCAATGAACCTGCTCCCCCTCCAGGCCCATGACTCTAGGAATGGAAGGGATTGTAATTTGAGGTCAAACCTTACCACAGGTGACCATCTGGACCCACTCTGATGAACCTGCTCCCCCTCCAGGCCCATGACTCTAGGAATGGAAGGGATTGTAATTTGAGGTCAGGCCTTACCACAGGTGACCATCCGGACCCGCTCTGATGAACCTGCTCCCCCTCCAAGCCCATGACTCTAGGAATGGATGGACCACAGATGTCAATGTCCAACACTGCTACCTGTCAATTGAAATAAAGCAAGACATAAGTACAAAAAAAGTAAGTAAAGTCTGTCAAGAGCCAATGTGGCCCATCAGGCCGGCATTTATCTCATGTTTACCATTTCTGTTAACCCTGGATGGGATGCTAGTCCATCGCAGGTTACTCCCCAGCTAATGCCGGTACCCATTTATACTCCTGGGTGAAGAGAGGCAAAATGGGGATGAAGTGGCTTGCCCAAGGACACAACATATGGCCCGCGACTGTATTCTAACCCCTGACCCTGTGATCGTGAGTCACGAGCCCTAACCACTAGTCCAACTCCCCCACGCAATACGACAAGGAAAGCCTAGAGCGGGCAAAAGTCTATTCTGAAAGGCTCTGCACAGGAAACTTTTTTCTATGAATCTTATGTCAAATATGGGCCAGATTTAGCCCACTTACATGGAGTATTCCTGTAAAATTGCACTGCCGGGTTTCTTCATCAGCCGAAAACCAGGCCAAGCCACAAGTGACAGTCGGTCAATCAGTCTGTCGGTCAGTCGGGGAGTCAGTCTGTCTGTCTGTCGGGGAGCCATTCAGTCACTGAGTCAAGTCGGTCAGTCAGTCAGGTAGAAAGAGGACTACAAGTCGAGTCTCGTTAACAAAAAATCAACCGGACTATGCCAAATTGCTGTTACATCAGACATCTGTATTAAGAGTATCGGTCTTGTTACCCCGGAATCTCAGGAATTCTTTTGAGATATCTACGGAGGCATGTGTTAAAGTAACAGTCTAGAGTGTGTATGGGTTATAGGGACAAGGAGGGGGTTACCCTCTGCCAAAAAGCGTGCAGGGTATGAGTAGTGACGGGATGCCAAACATTCAACTCTTGATTTGAACAGAATGTCAAAATAGTTATAATCCCCCTCTTCCTCCCCCCCCCCCTTCCCCCCTTCCCCCCCCCCCCCACCACCCTTCCAAAAAGGTCACACACCTGTGTATTTTCATCTCTGGCTAGACCCCTGGCGAGATGGGCTGTGAAGGTGCTTTTACCCACTCCGCCTTTGCCTGACAGTACAAGGATCTTGTGTTTGACAGAAGACATACGCTCTTTTATCTCCTCAACAGCTGCAAGGAAACATCAGAAATTGGCAAACCATCAAGAGCAAGCGTAGCGGAACGTCGCTATAACGAACATCGCAGGATCCACATCAATTGTTCGTAATAGTGAACGTTCAGTATACCGATTTGAAGCCAATACTTACTAACTTGTGGTTTTCACACATTAGTGGCGGCCTCTTTTGACTATTGTTACCCTGGTATTTACTCAAAGATGACTTTGAACACGTGCGACTACTGAATCATGAAATTACACGGGGGGCTTTCCCATTCTATTCCTTGGGATAATTACAGCCACTTGTCGCTCTTCTGTTGACATTCTCCAACAACAATGTTCGGTACGTTTTGTACTCAAAAATTGGGAGCCAAGGATGATGTTCGGTATAGCCGAATGTTCGGTTTAGCGGTGTTCGGTACACCTACGTTCCATTGTATGTGCATTTGACGCAGATGTTGCACACATATAAATGTTAACTCTTGGTCATCAGTTGAACAGAACCACATGAAAGGTCGAAAGAATACACCAAATGGATGTTTAGGTGAGCAAAAAACTCCGGCCAGCATGAATTTGCAATTTTACAAAATTATGTTGTATTAATGCAGAAACACTAAAATAGAAAAAAAAAGGGATTGCGGGGGGGGGGGGGTAAAAAATGAAACAAAAGTTGGAAAGTTAATAGGGAGAAAAAAGGAACAAATCTGTTAAAATTAGGCCATTCAACATTGATTTTTAGGTTTTCATCCCCTCCCACCTCAATTTTCACTCCCGCCCTGATTTTGTTTGTATCTATTATATTTTTTTCTGGAAGTGTGTTTTTTTTTTCTCAAAAAAGTGTCTACTCCGGACAAGTTTCTCACCAAATCCACAGGCATGATCGCATTGATTTGCACGCAAATATTATGCACGACATACTGAGGTGTTATGCATGCCACAGCGAGGCGTTGTGATATTGATACCACAGCGCTCTAGGCACCATACAGTCAGCGCGTGTTGTAGAGTACTCGTGGAACTGTACAACAGTTCATCTGGCTGGCAAGGGAAGGCCAATTGTTGCGTTGTTTGTTTTGAACCCTGCATCATGCCTTTCGTAAATCGCCAAGATTGCATGTGGAGTGAAGGTTTTCAAGCCCTGGTTTGGGATTAATGCCCCACGGACGCTTTCCGTGAATGAACTGTACAACAGCTTTGCCGCAGGAATTTATAAAAATATAAAACATCAATAATAATTATGCATAAATACCTAAGACAGTTTACGCATTCCTATTGGTCGAGGGCCCGTCACGTGGCCGGTCTTAAACGGATGATAAAGACATGGCTAGCTGGTCTGAAACACTTTTCCAGTGTCGCATGAAATTTGGACTCCCATGAAATCCGGTGCCTTTTACCGTTTCATTGGTTGAACGTTCACATTTCTCATGTATGCATGCGCAACGTACTACCAGTGAATCAGTATTTCATATTTCATTCACACTACACTAGTCCAGCTGCGTTTAGCGCGACATCGTGCAGTACGTGCGAGGCGCACGCATATGTCCTTATAAGGTAACGAGTTGTGGAGGGGCATTCCATATTATAGTCAGAGGGGTGTTTCGTAAAACATGAAGTAAAATTGTTGAACAAAATGGTTGGTAACGTCTACTTTTTGACTTCATTTGATATTTGGAACGAAGAGATTTGGTTTTTTGACCGAAAAAGGCATCTATGAATGGGAATAAATATGTGTTCGGTCGGTATTAAACACTCTGTGTCAGAACGGTGCGAGTCTGGATGGGTGATAATTACCCTTGGCTTTGCCTTGGGGTAATTATCACTCATCCAGACTCCCACCGGTCTTAAACAGAGTGTTATAATACCTCCCAAACACACATTTATTCCCTTAACAATTATTGTGCTTATATAGCGCTTTCCATCATATCAACAATCTCAAAGCGCTTTATAATTATTACCCCGTTCATCAGGCCATGGGACCACGCGGCAGCCGATATCAGCGCTCAATCGGTCCTTGACCCTCACAGGTACCCATTTAAATACTCCCGGGTGGAGAGAGGCAATTGTAGTAAAGTGTCTTGCCCAAGGGCACAAACACCATGTTCCTGGCAGGGTTCGAACCCATGCACCTTCGTACAAGAGTCAAACACCGTAGCCACTGGACCACGGCATTCTATAAATTCCCCTCCCAACCAATCAATGCTGACTGGCCTTAGGGACAGTACAAACCACAGCCATCTGTGGACGGAAAAAAAACAGAAGTTACCAGGATCTGGTGCTTGGGGCAACCCACTGGCGCATATATTCTGATTAGGGCAGCCTTGGCATGCTGAGACCTTGCCGGCTGACTCGCTCTGTGTTCCTGGGCAATCTGCAAAAATGCAAAACACATACAAGGAAAGGCGAAAGAAACTCCGATTTACAGAGGTGAATAGCAGAAAAACATCAGTAGTGAGTTCCTGAAAGCTTCCCCCAAATTAATAATATTTTGAACTTCTTTTTAAAGCTATAGTCCATCATTTGCAGCTATCCGAAAAGTAACTGGCATAATTATTGTTGAAAAACATACTTGGTTGAAAGATAGTAAGGGGACTAAACTCCCTGTGAAATTATTCTTTCTGGCAAGCTGTCATTTGAAGTAATCAACGAAAGAGGGCCTTTCCAATGGTGCTTCTTAAGACGCACCGTAGGAAAATTTAAATTAGTAGTTTGTTTTGTTATTCTGCGAAGCGCGCGCAAGCATTGGCACGACGCACACGCACTCCCGGTTGCTATAATTTGTCGGATCAATGCGCGACATCGCGTAGCTGCAATCGGCTCAGTGAGAACGTGTCTCGGACGCTGAATTCTGGCGCAATTCAAAACATTATTCAGCAACTTTTGATTTGAAATTGAGATCCTAGAATGCTGTTTTTCTCGGAATACACAGCTGAAGCTGAGCTGAAACTTCATCAGAATAGTTGTTCAGTACCCTTCTTTGGATTTTGAGCACTTTTGTTGCTCCAAACGAACAAAATGCACAAATTAGAAATGATGGACTATATCTTCAAAAGAGCCAATCTATTCCAATCTCTGCTCAGGCTTTCCAAATCACAATTAAGTTCAATATGGTGCATCCAATAAAGCCGTTGAATAAAGCTGTTGAAAATTGCATAACGGCTGCTGTGGGCATGGTGCAGGGGCTTTATAGCCTTAGGCACTTCATTGGCAGATCCAGGGGGTGGGGGGTGCCAATGTGGGCCATGACGAAAAAAATGTAGTATCCAGACAAAAAAAGTGGCATAACGTTGCAACATTCTTTCGGCCATGCCGCCCCCCCCCTAAAAAAATCTCTTTATTTTCAGGAAATCAACCGCCCTAAATCCTCCAAAATCCTTTTTGCAAATTGGAGGAATTTGCAGGATTGAGATGGCCAAAGTGCGTTGCTGATTTCGGAGTACGCACTGTGTCAAGGTCTTGGGCCGGACCTTGTGTTGTTTATGCTCAGCCGTGCATAAATTTAGTCCTTGATTATACTCGACATTCTGCACTGCTCCAGGATCATATGTCACTGCCTCTGCCTCATCCTATTGAAAGTCATAGCCGGAGGATTTTGCAGGATTCAGGCAGTGGTCACCCCTCCATGGACCATATTCAAGAAATAATGGAGGAATTTGCAGGATTGAGGCTATATGCTATTTTTCCATGAGGCCAATCGGAGGATTTTGCAGGATTGAGGCTACATCCTAGCAGAAAGGCCTGGGGAGTTAGGGTTTTAAACACTCCATATCTCCCTTGCAAGGTCAAGCCATCAGCTACACATCTAGCTTGAGTAACTCCAGCTCCAATGCTCATCAGAAATTCGACATTTTATATGTCAAATTTCTGATGATCGAGCATTGGAGCTGGAGTTACTCAAGCTAACAGTACTAGCTTGAGTAACCCTAGCTTGAGTAACCCTAGCTTGAGTAACTCCAGCTCTAATGCTTATCGCATTAGATAAGCATTAGAGCTGGAGTTACTTAAAGGGAATATACATCATTTGCTTTTGCTGTAATTTTCAGAAATGGATGGAATTGGGGGGTTGGAAATATAAAGCAAATATAGTTACACTGACTTTTTGGAGGTTTTGGGTTCGAAAATGCTATAAAAAACAAGAAAAACGATAATTTTCCTGTAGTCTGGTTCCCTGACTCCATATAAGAAGAAACAGAGCAGTTTACATACATTGGGGAATTGTAAGGTCAGGGAACCAGTCTAGCTGGCTCGTACCCGTTCATAGATTTGTAATCGATTGCAAACAAGTGCAATGGTCAATTGGGGCCAGTATTTGAAAAAAAGCCAGTTGTTTCCAACGCTGATCGGCCGATCAGCGTTGGAAATTGATACAAAAATACCACTTTTCTTGAAAATGACAGTATACCAGGTGCCATAATTTTACAGGATGCTTTAGACTGTCATTTACCAACATCCTATTAAGGTATTTCGTAAAAACTTGGTAATTTTATTTTTCGATGTTTGCAAATGTTGTATATTCCCTTTAAGTAACTCCAGCTCCAATTAAATTGGAAAAAATGTTGCAACCTGACGCCACTTTTTTTCTGCATATATCATCTCAATGAAGGTCAGAAATGAAAAGACATGAATCTGGGACTGAGAAACATTTCCAATTTTGTTAAGAAATATAACTTAAAATGTTTTCTTGACTCTCCATTGACTTTGTACACAACCAACAACCGCTGAAGTGGCGTCAGGTTGCAATGTTCATTTTTCCCATCAATTATCATTTTTAATAATAATAATAGTAGAAATAGCACACAATGCTGTATACTTAATCCCCTTCCCCTGTTTGTGAAAAAAACTCAAGCCCGGCCCCGTTGGCCCCCTGAAAATTTGGTTCTGGATCCGCCCTTGTCATGCTTGTTTATCAACACAAAGTCAACAGTCATGACAGTGAGATCAGATTGCACGCTTGAAAAGTTGCCATTTGCCAACCCAAGTTTCGGTGGTCGAGGTACAGAGCAAAAATCAAAATATTCTTGATTATTAAAGTAACACTTAATGCATACTAATCTACGCCATCAAGATCAGCAGTTTAATTTTCTTAATCTCCTTTCTTCACAAAATTAAAAGTGAAATCTAGCCCTACGTACGTTCAGGTGCATTTTCCGGTACGTCGGCCATTTTGCATTTGCAGGAAAGGTGTAGTGCGCCCTCGTGTGACAAAAAAAGAGAGGGTTTTTTTTTAGGGGGGGTACCGTCAAAAGTTCGGGAAAAAATGTTCGCATGCAGCCACCTTTTTTTCATATGAAGCCCGTATGAAGCCCGGGAAGGGACAGGGTGGATTTTTGTTTTGGCATTTGCTAATTCGTTCGCACGAATTCCTAATTTGTTCGCACGAATTCCTAATTCGTTCGCACGAATTACTATTTCGTTCGCACGAATTGCTATTTAACGCAATGGTATTGCAAAATAACGCAATGGTATTGCGAAATATTGAACGCATTCCATTTGAAGATAGAAAAACTAAACATTTGGATTGAAAATTCCAACAAAGTGTATATGAAATTGCTTTCTTTCTGTACATAAAAAATGTACAAACTTTCCACTGTAACTTTTCGTAAATAAACAGATAATGCAATAACCTAACAATAGCTCAAGCATTAAAATTCAATAATGCAGTAATCCTGCAAAGCCCTCTCCTTTGGCTTCTCCATATCGATAACTTCACACCAATTATTTTTCAAAATCATCGAGGCTGGTCTCTGCCCTCTCCTCGGAATCTCATCTCAAAATCTGCTCCATTCCAAACTCGTCTTGCTTATAAACCCCGGGAGAAATATTTAAGCGAGGCCACATGGTCCAAGAATTCGGTATGCATTAAAATGACAAAATAAATATTCAACAAACAATCTATGCAAAGTATAAACACGCTACTCAATAAACCTTTTCACTGTGAAATAATAATTTATGCCCTAAAAGTTGTTTTGAGGCAAGAAGCGAAATCGGTCCATTACAAATGTACAGCGATACAAACAAACAGAAAAGGCCCTGAAATCGTCATGGGCATTACTTTCTGGCCAAAGTGGGCTTTTTGGGGGGTAAAAAAAAATCACAACTTAAAAAAATGCTTTCTTCCCGAGCGACTATGAGGGCGAAGGGAATCAGCAGGGCTCCTTTCAGCACGAGTGAAAATCAGTAACTGTGCACTTCGCGGTACCATCCACCAAATAACGGGACGAATCGCGCTGCTGAATCGCGCCGGGCTGAACCGCCGGCTGAATCACGGGCTGCGCCGGCACAAACGATGTCGATGTCACCGAGCACGAACCGTCACGTTGACCGGGCACAGGGCGTACAGGCCCGGTGGGTGTCACGCGAAAAATCACGCTGCGCTATATCGGTCATCATTATAAAAAATAAAGCAATAAACAAAACAAAGCCCATACAATTAAAAAAGAATTTCAAAAATATATTCCAAAGTTAATTGTCATATTGTATCTTTCGATAGTGATTGACGACACTGTTGCAACTTTTTCCGCTGACCAATATATATATAGCGCAGCGTGTTTTTTCGTGTGGTTCACGCCGGGCCTGTACGCCCAGTGCCCGGTCAATGTGACTGTCCATGCACGGTGGTGACATCGTTTGTGGCCCGCAGCCCGTAATTCAGCCCGCGGTTCAGCCCGGCGCGATTCATCACCGCGTTCAGCCCGTAACTTGGAGATGGAACACCGAAGTGCACAGTTACTTATTGTCACTCGTGCGGAAAGGAGCCCTGCTGATTGCCTTCGCCCTCGTGTGCTCGGGACGAAGGCAATAATTTAAGTCTTCATTTTGTGCATCAAGACAAAAGCGAGAAATCCTTGGAGAAATTGCGAAAAAAACACCCTAATGTTTGTACTCCTGTACATTTTTGATGGACCTTTTTGCGCTTCTTGCCTCAAGACCATTTATGCGCATGCGCATCATTTATATTTATCATTTATAAGTAACAGGTCTATGACATCCCAACTGGAGCCGAACTCGCATTCTTAGACGGTTCAATAACTTTGACAAAAAATGTTTGGGCGTGGCAGCCCCCCAAAAATATAATTTTGTATTTCATCTGCTACATGTGTGTTTAGCAGAAACCACAAAAATCCCTGCCACGTAAGCTAAATTCGTGTTTGAAAAAAAATATCACCTTGTGACACGTGACCAGCGGTTTCATTGGATGATTCATTAAAACCAACAATTGTGTTGTCAGTCAGTCAGGAGCACAATAACGTTTTCAAATAACGAATTTATACCAAGGGGTAAATAAGCATTATTACTAAGTAGATGTACAGGGTTTATCATCCCCACCCCAAACTAGAATGAGTTAGTTCTTGAAAGTTACGAACTTGGGCATTGTCAGTAAGGTTGGATCACCGCAATTGTGCCTACGCCGTCATTTATGACTAAGAATCATTTATTTCAGAACAAAGACTAAAATTATATATTTTCGTTGTTCCGATTCATTGGTAAAATGAGTTGTCAAGTGTCGTCGTGTTGACGTCATCATAGGTTAGGCGACACCATCCTAAAGATCAATTTCTCAAAGTCGTATATCTACAGAACCACAAGCCGCATTGGCTTACAACTTTGTTGGTGAATAGTCGGGCACGAGTTCAAAATGAACAGTGGAGAGACGTCATGGTGACGTCTTCAAGTGATTTTAAACGGATTTCCAATCTTTTTATAATTGTTATGAGTTTAAACAAATAAAGAAAAATACTTTGGAGGCCCGAATCAGACAAAGGAAACATATTTGGTGACCAAAAAGAAGATCCGACTAAAAATAAGCAAAAAAGAATCGCAATTGCCAACCCGGGAATCGCACTCCGGACCGTTCGTATGCCAAGCGAGAGTCTTAACCACAAGCCAACGCAGCTTGCACGACCGCGCACACTGAAAAAAATGACGTCCCTAAAATGAACATGTACATCTTATCATTAATCAAGCCGCCCAAACATTCTTTACCCCCCAGATACCTGCGCGATATACATTAACTGTCAAAAATCCATGTGATAATTACAAATATGCTTACTTAAAAAAATTAAAAAACTATCAGGCCAAATTCTCCCGACTCTTTAGGTACGTGCGTGTTTCGTGCACACATCAAAGTAAAGTTATTTAAAAAGCCTGTCATTAGGCCAAAAAAAAAATTCGGTCTCTGGTCGGACCAAAGTTCCGGAATTGACGCGGCCACGTGGCTTTTTTTTTTTTTCGCTTTTTTTTTTTTTCTTCAAGCTTGGATTGTACAGACAAGGTGGGGTACTATTTTGCTTTGTTGGTGTCCTCATGTACATTGGTGTCCTCCATAATTTGCCTTGGTGCTTTCGATTATTTGCTTTGGTGCAATTTCCCATTCCTTGGTGCTCTTTGGTAAAAAAAAATGAGGAGGTGCGGAAATAGAGGGCGCTGTTGGAGCTAGCGCGGAACATTTTGGGGGAAAAAAAAATCGACGCGCATGATTAAAATCGACGCGCGCGCTGACCAGAGACCGACTTAATTTTTTATTTTGGCCTTATGTTCAATTCTTAGACGTTTATTGGCCACTTTCGGGAATGAAATATCAATCCAGAAATGATCACCTCTACAAGTAGTCCAATATCCCATCGCCGTTAAAAAAAAACCCTGTATTCCTACGCCCCAAGTAGCTCAGTTTAAGGGTCCGATTCTTTCACAACGGTAGGCCTACGACATCACACAACGCACGGCAGCCAACCTTCTGTTTCTTAAACCCTCCAATTGTTGGCCTTCGAAATGCTCAAATAACAGAAAACTTCATTTTTGTGAGTAAAAATAAAACCAACAAATCATCCGGAGCCACGAATCAAACGAAGACATAAGAGTTTTGTGACAGGAACGAAGATCCGACAGAAAAAGAAATAGATAAAGGAACACATAATCGTAACTGCAAACCCGACATTCGAACTTGGGACCTTTCGCATCACCTTCCTGTTCAATGCACCTTGAATTGAAGTATATAGACTCCAAGAACGATATTTTAAGGCATGTTCATACATTTTCGCGTGTGGTTTATATTTTGAGTTATTACAAAGACAATTTTGTGCAGGTGTTAAATCTTGCCGGTTGCGTCTCGGATGAAAAAAATAGAAATAAAATGATTCAATATAAATTTGAGTGGCCATATCATCTCAGCCCCTCCTGAGGGATCGCTGCCCACGTAGATAAAACAAATTGATAGGAAATTTGGAAGTAAATTGATTGAGGCGGCTTTTTCATCAATCAAAATTTTCAAACAAATGATAATAAATGCAGGTGTATTAGGTAACAACGATTTTGCAGATCACGCCATAGATAATGTTACACATGCAGCGCACACTGTACAAGAGTGATAATTGAGAACGCACGAAGCGTTCAGCAGCGACGCCGTTACGTAGTAAGGTTCATGTTTTTGACCCAGCTTGTCTTTGAATTCTGCTCATTCGGATTTGAGATCGTTTGTACATGAGCACGTCTGGACCTTAGCTAGTATAAACTTCAGGTCATTGGGACTTCAACTCGGACTTGAGCTCGTTTGTACCTGATTGAGCACGCCTAGACTTTAGCTAGTAAACTTGAGGTTATTCGGACTTCAACTCGGACTTCAGCTCGTTTGTACCTGATCGAGCACGCCTAGACTTTAGCTAGTAAACTAGAGGTCATTCGGACTTCAACTCGGACTTGAGCTCGTTTGTACCTGATCGAGCACGCCTTGACTTTAGCTAGTAAACTCGAGGTCATTCGGACTTCAACTCGGACTTGAGCTTGTCTGTACCTGAGCACGCCTTGACTTTAGCTCGTTAAACTCGAGGTCATTCGGACTCATCCAGACCCGGTGAGGTCTTTTGGAGTTCGTTTGTCGGGACATCTGAGATTTTGAGGAAGGCTTGGTCATATCATCCCCATTTTGAAAGGTAGGCCTTCGTTTTAACATTTCATACTTATTCATAGCTAAGTGCAGGTTATCACGTTGACAATAACGAATATTAAACTTTTATCCAGCATAACAACGAAAAACTGCAACCCTCATAAAAACTGGAGTTTATTTAGATTTTTGTCTTGCCCCCAAACAAATCCTCCCTGTCGGTATACTGGCATTATCGAGTCCGATTGGGAACGGGGCCATTCTACCCTGCAAGAACTGGATTATTGTCGGGCACCAAATAATTTGACCTCTGTAAAGTGATTGTTAGAA